ACCTGTCAGTTTCTCTATGCATTTATTCCAGTTCCTGTTTTCTGTTTTGAATACATTTGACCAAAAAAAAAAAAATTCATGATCACTTTTATTTATTTTTGATCACTTTTATTATACAAACTTCCTCAATATAAGGCCCAACCTTGTCTCCTTTGATAACTTTTCCTGTTTTATTTTTAACTTTTGTAATTTTTTTTTAAATAAAGGAGACATGATTAAGTACTGGATTTAACCCAGTGAACATCTTATATGAATTGCCCACTTACTGGTCTTAGAAAATCTGTGCTAGGTCCTGTTTCCTGTGTTGCATTATGCTTTCTCTCCTCTTCTTCCTCCTCTGGCAACTTGGAAAGTAATCTAGTGAATCCTTTGCAGGTGAATGGTATAATTTAACCATAGCAAATCTAAACAGTAATTTTGATGCCTTCATATAACTAGACTTGTCACCAGGCTGCAAATCTTCAACTACAGCTAGAGCAAAGAGCAAAAAGCAGAAGGAGGTTGAGGTGGATCACAGTGGGATTTATCAGCTAAAGTAAGGAGTTTGAACTTTATCTAAAAGCTATGGGGAGCTACGAAGGAGCAGCATCACCAATCCACACTTTAGAAAGTACATTCTAGCAGTGTATGAGAGCAGATTTAAAGATGCTATGAGATTAAAGGCAGGGAGTTCAGAGTTTTATAATTCATAAAGAACATAAGAAAAGCCCAACAGACAGTGGCAGCAAGGATAGCAAGAAGGCAGCATGGTAACAGGAGGGAAGTGGGGATGCTGCAGGATGTCAATGAAAATACAACAGCAATGGATGGACTCCTCCTCACTCCTTACACCAAAATACATTCCAGATGGACCAAAGATTAAATACAAAAATAAGGCCATCAAAATAACCCCAAAACATGAATTTATGACTACATAAAAGTTTTAAAACTTCTTTGTGGAAAAATTATTTTATAAAACAAAATCAGAAGACAAATGACAAGCATGGAAAAATTATTTGCAGCACCTTATCTAACTGGTTTAACATTCAAAGAGCTTATACAAATCAGTAATAAAAAGACAAGCAATCCAATGGAAAAATTAGCAAAAGCTAACTAAAAGCAGGAAGTTTATATAAAGATTCAAATTCTACTAAAGAAATGCAAGTTTTAAAAATGTACATTAAAACAATTAGGTATCTTTTTCCACTTATCGGTTTGGCAGAGATTGAAGAGTGTGATGAAATCAGTTTCAGCAAAAGTGCAGAAACACACACCCTTTGATCTGTTATTAGAGTATAAATTGATATGCCTTTTTTTTTGGACAGCAATTTAGTAATATCAAAAATTCAGCTACCCTGAACCCAGCAATGTAATCTAGTGATTTACAATATACATGTTCACAAAATCATTTTTTCTTTTTTTTTTTACAATAGTCTCAAATTGTAAACTATACTTCTATCAAAGAGTGACTTCATGAATTATACTAAACAATTAAAGAAATACTATGTAGCCATTAAAATGGACTAAAACGTTTAGGGCCAAAAGATGTCCAAGGGATTTCAAAGTTTTTTAACTTAAAAAAACAAACAAATAAACAAGGGGTGCCTGTCTGGCTCAGTCTGTAGAGCGTGCAACTCATCTCAATGTAAATTCAAGCCCCATGTTGGAATTATTTTTAAAAAAGTAAAAATGTCAAAAAAAATTAAAAATGAAAAACAAAAAACACAAGTTGTAGTACAGAATATGGGGTATAAAATTCCTTTTTTGCTTTTTTTTTTGCTATTTTTAAAGAGCTATATTTTTGTGTTTGCAAAGAAATTTTGCAGAACAATCTCTAGTCAAGAGACAAGAAATCTCTAGTAACTGAGGAATGAAAATAGAAAGGAAGGCTCTTCCTTTATTCACTTGTTTGCATTTAACCTTAATTGGTAAGTATGTTACTTTTATAATAGAGAGAAAGAAGAAAAAATAATATTCCCCATGTAATCTAATGCCCACCTTATCTTTCCAACTATCTTGCAGTCATCTCTGCCTAAATCTCTTATTTCTATCAATTTAATCTCCTCCCTATGCACTGGAATATGCCTTGTGCCTACCCTCCTTTTGCCTTTGCTTACGCATTAACTATACCTAAAGGAATTTCTCTTCCACTTTGAATTCTGCTCAGCCTTCCACCTCTGGGTCTCTTCAACCCTGCCAGGTTCAGTCACCTTGGCTCCTCTGAACTCAGAGCTCCAAACCTGGCATTTCTGTGGTCCCTGATGCTTCAAACTGTCCATCCTCTTTGAAGGCAGTGGCTATGTCCTACTACTCTCTAGCAGCCATCATAGCTGACACAGTACTCTTTCATAGTAGATGCTCAATAAATAGATTGACCATCTCTGCCTCTCTCTCTATGTCGATCATGAATAAATAAATAAAATCTTTAAAAAAAATTTAAAAAAAGATTTATTTAAGTAACCTCTACACCCAACATGGGGGTTGAACTCATGACCCTGAGATCAAGAGTCACATGTTCCTCTGACTGAGCCAGCCAGGCACCCCAACAAAAGGAATTGCTATTCAAACTACATTTACTCTAGAATTCTACTAGAGTTAAACCATATCAACTCACTTCTGGCATTTTCTTATTACTTAAGGCTTTACTGTTTGATATTTGACTTCCCTGGCACTGAAAGGTCATTCATTTAAAGGCAAGCATATAACAGACTTCACATACAAGATTAATATGAGCAGTGAAGTTTTGCTAAGACATTCAGCTTTCTTTATTACTCTTCATTCCCTAAATATTCCTACTTCTTATAAGAAATAAGCAGTTGGGTAAAATTTTAGCTTTCTTTTCTGTTTAATAGATCCTTCAATCAAATTCCCTATAAATATCTGAAAGTAACAAACACTGTTCTTTGGTTTAGTGTTCCAATTTTTAAACTTTAATCCTATTAGCATAAGGACAAATCCCCATGCTAATAATCAACTCCTTTGTATTGTTTCATAAAAGCTTAATTATTGGAGACCTTTCTATTTCCCTAGGAAAGGAAGTTACAAAGATTATTCCTTTCTACTCCTAAATTACCATTTATTCCAAAATCTCACGGGATTACTCAAGAATCCATTTCCATAAAGTATTACCCATGATCTACACAGTGTGGTCTTCTAGAGAAGGCTACTTACATTAAGACCAAGGCCTAATGTGGTCTACCAAGCTTATCATGTGAAAACTATCCACTTCATACCTTTCACATATGGACAGTTTATTAAAAGCTCCGCAGTGGCAGAATTTCTATATAGGAAAGGCATAAGGTTGGCAATCTTGCAGAAGGAAGTATGCCAGGGGACTGGGCCTACTGCACATAGGTTTGCACAGCAATCACATTGATTTTACTTAGACTGTATCTTATAAAACAGTAACAATAACCAATTTTAGTAAAGACACTTTCATTCACAATTGATATGACTTTATTGTTTAGGAGTAAGTTATTAGGGTGGGGGGTTGCTAATAGAAATTATAGTAGGATTATTTATCCCCGTCACCACCAATACCCTTTTTCAGCCACACTTGGCACTGCCACTGGGTACAGATCACTAGAAAGTGGCAAGATTCTCTGGATTTGTGTTAAGAGCCTTACAGCAGTGAAGGAATTACAGCTATGATATAAAAACATATTTTCATGGACCAGGTAGCCCTGTCTAGTGGACAAAGTGCTGAGCAGGAATGAGGTCAGAAACTAGGTAAGTTAAATTTCTCTCTTCCACCTACTTTCTCCTTAATCCCCAGAGGAAATGAGTTAGAAAGTAGAAGTGAAAACAAAGTAAAAAGAACAGCTGTGGAGAGCAGTTGTCAGATTGGTAAGGTGGTTTTTACAGATTTGAACACCAAATTGAAAAAGATATGGACCACATTTCAGGATTGTGGTGAATCCCAGTGTCTAAGTGGAGAAGAAGCAGGAACACATCAGGGCCATAGTATAGTTACTTGGGTCACAAGATTCAGTTATTCCAATTTTGATACAGTCACTATAACCTCAAATTATCCAAATTTAGCTTGATTTATTTTAAGAGGGGAGGGGCTCTTGACTGTGTGTTCATCACCTATTCCCTCATTTTGTTCTTAATTCTCCCTAAGCACACACATGCCCATACACACATGCACATACACACACACCTCCTAGCATTTCCCCATACCCAGGGAAACCCCATAAAAAGAAATTACAAAAAGAATATTTAGGAAGAGGTGATATAATATTGCTGGTTTAGCCTATCAGGGATTTATGAACACTGATCCTTAAGTTGATTTCCAGTTAAACACAGATGACTATACTTGTATATTACTTCTCCTTCCTAAAGCCCAAATCAAAATAGTAGCAAGGGAATTTTTTAAAAGGCATGAGCCTGCAGGATAAAGAATGGAAAAGAAGACTGTAGTAGGAAAGACAGAAATAGGAAAGTAAGTATTATTTTTGGAATATTGCTGAGAAAGCCAAGAAAGGTACAACACAGTCTTGTGTCTACAGAGGTAAAGAAATCAGAAGTGAATGAATGGCCCTTCAGGATCCCAGAGAGATGCCCGGAAATACCCAGGTACAGTGGAAGACAGGGTTGACACCTTAAACAGTGGCTTGATTAAAGTCTGAAAACAGTGTAGTGTAATTAGATCTCTGTGCAGGCTTCCTCTTCCTACCCCTGTTAGGTACACCACTCTTAAATATGGGGGCTGGACTGAATGCATCCTCAAATCCTTTCCAGTCACGGAAGACTTTACAGGAAAGTGATGCACTAAGACTTCAAGGATGTGCCAGTGGAAAAAGGGTGCAAGGTAGGGGAGGAAGGCAGTGAGGGGTGAGAAGATAGGGATTTATGTTTCTGGTCCTCCAAATATATTTGTCTCTGCAACTATAAATTTTAAGCTGCAATGTGACTTCCAAGTTAGATCCACACCAATCAAAACAGCCCTGTGAGATTCTTGCCATATAGGGGCTGGTCCTACAAATCTGTTTTCCTATTCACCACACAGTCATACTTACCTTGCAAGTTTGCTGAGGCCAAGGACTTGCTTGTTAGGAAGATAACCAATATGGACCTTCAAAGAAGAGACAGAAATCATGAGGTAAGTGAAAATCCAATGCTTCTTTGTAACAAAATAAGGAAATGTAATATAGGATATGTATTATGCAATTCAACACAATGAAAACATGTCTTTAAGAGATCTAGAAGCTTTAAGACTTAGAAAATGAAGCACTTACAAAAGCATTTAGAAAATACATATGTGCAGTAAAAGGAAAATATATATGAATGACTATTAATGAAATGACAAATTTGAAATACAGTCATGGTATTTCCTAGTAAAGTTAAACTCTTTTTTTTTTTTTAAGATTTTATTTACTCATCAGAGACACAGAGAGAGAGAGAGGCAGAGACACAGGCAGAGGGAGAAGCAGGCTCCATGCAGGGAGCCCGACGTGGGACTCAATCTCGGGTCTCCAGGATCATGCCCTGGGCCGAAGGCGGCGCTAAACCGCTGAGCCTAAAGTTAAACTCTTGATACAATTCTTAAAGTCTTTCTTCTATTGAGGGAACACACTCTCTAGACAGTGAAAATTATCCTGTAGCAACATTAAAATGTAACCAGGAAAGCTTCCTTTATTTTTTTTAAGATTTTTATTTATTTATTTTGAGAGAGAGAAGAGTGTGTGAATGAATGGGGGTGGGGTGCATGGAAGAAGGTGAGAGAGAAACTTAAGCAGACTCCATGCTGAGCATGAAACCCGACACAGGGCTTGACTCCGCAACCATGAGATCATGACCTGAGTCAAAATCAAGAGTTGGACGCTCAATTGAGCCACCCAGGAACCCCAGGAAAGCTTCCTTAAATGGCTGAAACTGTAACTATAAATATTGTCACTCCACCTTAAAAAATCCCACCTCATTGCACAGAAAGAGGGTCTCTTTGTCATGCATGGTGGTCTCCTTTCTAAGCTGCTGGAGAACACTACCTTCTTGATGGGAGATAAAGGACACAGCTACAAATGTGAGTTGTCAAGACCTGGACCTTTACATCTAAGTTCTTATAGAACCTACTATAAAGCCAAGCTAATTCTATAATCTTAAAAGTCACTAATATCTCCCAGGTCCATGTTACCTCTCTCTGAACCATGTGTTAATTATGAGAAAACATTAGTTCTACAAAAAGGCTAATAATGTAAATGGTCATGTGTAGGCAATCAATTAACCTAATACGAAATGATATATTTCATTTGCATCATGGTTTGCCAGCATTTGTTGCATTTGTTCACCTAATTAATATTTACTATACATGTAAATAACTGATCTACTAGTAATTAGTGATTTTTCATCTCTTAACACTATGCTTTGAGAGTTTGAGAATACCAATTCATCACCTTCCTGGTCAGCAGAAGGAGAAAGTAAAGTAGCACCTAAATACTGGGTATTTCAAAGAAAAATAGAATTTAAAACTTTCCCATGAACTAAGATCTTCTGTACCACTTGAAATTTTATATTTATATGCAGAGCTACAATGTTTTTATTGTTTGTACTATTTTTTATCTTTCTGAAGGTCTTAAGTCATTTCAACGTTGATTTTAGAAAATCATCACTGAATAATGTAGTTTTTAAAAAGTTAGCAAGAACACAGAGATAATCACATCAGAAGGTAATAGGATATAGTGGTGAGAGGGTGAGCACGATTAAGTTCCTAGGTCTATTTCCAGCCAAATCACAAACTCCCTCTGTCCTCCTGGACAAGTCATAGGCTTTCTGGACCTAAATTCCTCACTTACAATGAAAGGTAATAAGATAAGCGCAAAGGTTCCCTTTTTGAAAAACCTCAGCCCAATATCACGTGGCCAGCATCATTAATTGTGGGACTGCCAGTCAGTGCACGCCTCCCAATGAGATGGAATACAGAGTCTTTAGTACCTCCACGAACTAGTATTTTTTTAAAAGATTTTATTTATTTATTCATAAGAGACATACAGAGAGAAGGAACAACATAGACAGAAGGAGAAGCAGGCTCCTCACAGCGAGCCCAATGTAAGACTCGATTCCAGGGCCTGAGATCACGCCTTGAGCCAAAGGCAGACACTCAACTACTGAGCCACCCAGGTGTCCCCCTTCAATGAAGTAGTATTATTAAAAATGTTTAGCCTTAATCTTAGGAAGTTTCAGACCTAATCTAGTTTATAGGAAATCCAGAGGTTGAATGGAATAAATCCAGAAGGTGGGATGCTCTATAGGACAACTGGCTCAGTCTCTTCAAAAAGACAATGCTGGAGGAGTGCTATTTTACAATAAGAGACTTAAGAGGCAAACAACCCAAAGCAATACAAACGTGTGACTTTTTTTTTTTTTTAAGATTTTATTTATTTATTCATGAGAAACACAGAAAGAGAGGCAGAGACACAGGCAGAGGGAGAAGCAGGCTCCATGTAGGGAGCCTGACGTGGGACTTGACCCCGAGTCTCCAGGATCAGGCCCTGGGCTGGAGGTGGCACTAAACTGCTGAGCCACCCGGGCTACCCCAAATGTATGACTCTTATTTGGATTCTGAGTTGTCTGCTTTTTTAAAGATTTAATTTTTAAGAAATCTCTACACACAACATGGAACTTGAATTTACAACCCCAAGATCAAGAGTCACATGCTCTGCTGACTGAGCCAGCTAAGTGTCCTTGGATTATGATTTTAAAAAACCGAAGTGGGTGAGGGGATGGGGTAACTGGGTGATGGGCATAAAGGAGGGCATGTAATGCAATGAACATGGGGTGTTATGTGCAACTGATGATTTACTGAACTGTACATCTGAAACTAATGATGTACTACTATATGTTGGCTAATTAAATGAAATTTAAATTAAAAAAATTAAAAAACCAAGAGTAAGACAGTTGAGGCAACTGCAGAAATGTAAATATGGGTTAGTTATTAGATGCTATTTAGGAATTACTATTAATTTTGTTCATGGTAGTGCTCCTATAGATTTTCCTATAGAAAACATTTTAAATTTGTGTATTAATAATTAGTGATGAAGAGTCATGCTGTTTATAACATACTTTATATTCTTTAATGTATTGAAGAATTTACTGCTAACTTTTTATGCTGATAATCAAATTGGAGTTACATTTCTTTAAAAATCTTTATCTTTTAGATATACATATTGAAAGAAATTATGGAAAAAATAAAATGATAACTAGGATTTGCTCCAAAATAGTCTAGTGGGAACTTATATATAAAAAGATTGGTCTTGGGATCCCTGGGTGGCGCAGCGGTTTGGCCCCTGCCTTTGGCCCAGCGCGATCCTGGAGACCCGGGATCGAGTCCCATGTCAGGCTCCCGGTGCATGGAGCCTGCTTCTCCCTCTGCCTATGTCTCTGCCTCTCTCTCTCTCTGTGTGACTATCATAAAAAAATAAAAAAAAAAGATTGGTCTTTTATCAGTAACTGTTGAAGTTGGTTTTAGGAAACATGGAACTTTATCATACTAGTCTTTCTATTCTTACATATGTTTGAAATTTTCTATAATAAAAAGTTTGGGTGCCTAGATTGCTGAGTGGTTGAGTGTCTGCCTTCAGCTCAGGTCGTGATCCCGGGGTTCTGGGGTCGAGTCCCACATCAGGCTTCCTGCAGGCTGCCAGCAAGGAGCCTGCTTCTTCCTCTGCCTATGTCTCTGCTTCTCTTTATCTCTCATTAATAAATAAAAATCTAAAAAAAATAAATAAAAGGTTTAAAAAAGAGAGAGACCACTACAAACACATTAGAGTAGTAAGCTTAAAAAGATTGAAAGTGTCAAGTGTTGGCAAGGCTGTAAAGTGACTGAGACTCACCTAAGAGTATATGAAGTGTAAAGTGGTACAACCACTCTGGAAAACTAAAGATCAGTATCTATTAAATTGGACATGCATATACCCTATGATCCTCCAAGTCCACTCCTAGGTATATTCCTAATAGAAATGCATCCATAAGCACTGGGTGTTATTCTGTATGTTGGTAAATTGAACACCAATAAAAATTAATTTATAAAAAAAAAAAAGAAAAGAAAAAGAAATGCATCCATATATGCACCAAACAATGCTGATAGCAGTATCATTTGTAATAGGAAAAAAAGAGAGTGAGAAAGAGGACAATGTAAATATCTACCAAGAACAGAATAAACTGATATGTTTGTACAATGAAATAATAGACAGCATTGAAATTAAGCTACAGTGACAGACAATAACATCAATGACTTTTACAATGTGGAACAAAAAAAGCCAGACACAAAAGATTTCATGTTGTAGATTCTTTCCATTTATAAATTGAAAAACAAGCAGAAATAATCTTAGTGCTTGAAATTGATGTACTGGTTACCTTTGGGGACAAAGGACAGGTTAGTGATTAAAAAGGGGTACAAGAAAAAAAAGGGGGTACAAGGTGAGCTTGCAGGATAGAAATAATGTTCTAATTCTTGATCTGTGAGGTAGTATGGAATACCTTTATAATTTGTGCATTTTCCCTATTTCACTTTATAAAAATGTGAAAAAATAAAATACTTTAACAAAAAAATGTGAAGCAAATGTCAACACATTAAATTTAGGTGATGGGTATATAGGTATTCATAATCTATTTCTTATAAGTCTTCTGTTTAAACACTATTAATGAAAAATCAAAATACAATAAAATTATAATGAGGGGGAGGGGAAAGACAGGACTATTCCTGGTCCTGAATCCACATGTTTTCAAAGGCACATTTAAGTCAAACAAGCTAGATAACATTATCTAGCTTGCATTAGACTAATTTTTCCTAATACAGAAAAGGTTGGAAATAAATTAAATCCACTAATACCATGACCTCTGCCACAATAAATTCTGCAATCATAGCTGCTCATGCCATATGATACAAAAGTGTATCTGGGATCAAACATTATTTAGTCAAAATAAAGAGCAAAGGTTTTCAGAGCCTGCAGCAACTTCGTAGAAAAAAAAAAAGAAACTTTAATCTCATTATTTTAACCTATTAAGATGCTATTTACTATGAAATGTTTGCCCTAAGGACCTTCTGCTACTTTGTTTTTGTTTTGTTAGTTTTGAGCTATTAGAGTAGTCAGATTGATAAAGAGTAAATGTTTATGTGTAATTCTATATATCTGGGATATTAGGAATTAGCAGGTGATGATTTTAAATATAATAATCCTAATTTTAGAACTTTTATTGTGCTTTTTAACATTACTAGGAAACAGGGAAAACCTTACCTTTCCAACAAATGGAACTAGATGATGTTCACACATGGAAAACATATCTATGTCCTTCACAATCACCATCTCATCATGATCTTCATCAAATATAGCATCATTTAAGACATCTGAAATCAGAGGTTTGCTTTAGTAACAATTTTATAGAAAGATACAGAGTAGAAACACTAACAATCTTCATGGTTAGAGATAGTCAACAAAGACAAAACATTAATCCTAGCTAAAATATAAGGGAATGCAAATTAAAACACATTATTTTTCTCCTACCAAACTAGCAAAGCTTTCTTCTTTAAATGATGAAAAAACCCTGATGATATAAGTATTACATAACAAATGCAGGATTACAAACAAATGTGTCTGCTGCATGACAGAAGGAGAAAGAGAAATTATGCAAAACAAAAGAATGGCTATTTCTGGTGATGGAAATGAGTTGCTTTCACTTTCTCCTTACATTTTCTTATACCTAACACTTTCTCTATAATGGATGTGTAGAAAACCATATCTGACATCTCAGGCCAGATATAGACACTTGTAAACTTAATATGTTATCTATCCCCCAAATAATTGTGTACTCATAAAATTTTCTAGTTACTGTATACAAGCATCAGACTTAAACAGTTGCCTCTTCCCTAAGGAAATAGATGCTCCAATTTTTATGTATATGCCTGTCCACATTGGCTTTTGACCTCTGGGCTCTGATACATATGGCTAGACATACAGCAGACATTTAGAAACAAAAAAAACTTTATTTTTAAAAAGTGCATGGCTATCTGGACATCTTGGCAGCCTGCACATGTTTAAGACTCCAAGCTGTGTGATTTCAAGGATTTGGGGATACCCATCTACATAGTACAATGAGACAGAGCAGGGAGGAGGTGAATAGAGATTTGCAGCCACCTACAGTTATTTCCCCTCAAAAGGCAGGCTTCGGAGTGAGTCACAGGGAAGAAGTGCAAACGTCCACCCACACAGCCTGACCTTCAGTGGCTACGTTGCTACTAGAATAGAGGCTCAGAGATATTGAGTCATCATTTAACCACTGTTATCATCCCGTGAGTCAGGCTATTCAGAGACACATTTGATTGTATAGTGGAAAAGTCATTAGTGTGGTCAACAAAAGTGAACATGCAGGGTTTAGACACACAGACAAACACAATGCTCCCAGTAGGAAAGGCTGATAAAATTCAGAGAAGAAAAGGCTCGGTGTCATTCTTGAAGTAAATACTTTTCCAAAATCAGCATTCTATTTTGAATACTCTGCCCTAACCTTTAGTCATATTTCTGAAAGAAGTCCAAATATAGACCCTTAGTGCTCCCCAAAGTATCTTGGATTTCTCCAAGATTTTAAAGTAAGATTACCGTATGCATAGTTTATCAAAATCTTTAGGCACATAAAAAAACTTCCTGAACATAAAACAAACAAAATTACTTCTTAAAGAACAAAAGAGAATTATCTAAAAGAAGCATTCATGTGTTTTATCGGGCAAAGAATGAGAGCATCCCCATTCTAAACTCTGACAACAACCATATGGCTCATGTTAAAAGCTGATCCTCAAGTTAGGCTAAGTTAGCATCTGGGTGCATCAGGAACTAGCTGTTGGACCTTCAGCAAAGTACTCTGTGAGCCTCAATCTTCTAAGCTGTAAAATGAGCATGAAAAAATGTCTATATTTTTCCGGGGTTATCCTGAGGATTAAATGAGATAACCCATTTGTGTTTAGAAGTATGAAGATGGACTAAGTGGTAGCTGTTGTTATTACTATAACTGTAAGTAATGTTGAGAGAGTGCTAAACTATGTGTTCCATGCAAATAAATACACATCAGAATTTAAAAAGCAATAATTTGCTTCTAAGAGACAGACTACAAAAAAGGAAAAATTGTAACCTTGCAGTGAGGAAACCTGGTAAATACTATTTTAACTAAGTGATCCAGATTAACTTTACCAGTAATAAGACATATTGATATCATGTAGTTCCTGGTATAATATGATGAGAAGGGCATATCATCTCTGCAGTGTCCTTCCCCAAAGTGTATAACTGTAGTCTAATCACTAGACGAATTGAGAGACATTCTCCAAAATACCTCAGTAAGCACTCTTTTAAAAAGACATGAAAAGGCTGAAGAATTCTCATGGATTTGAGGAGACTAAAGAAACCTGAAAATTAAATGCAACGGAAAAACCAAAATTGATGTAAAGTCTGTAGTTTAGTTAATAGTATTGTACCAATAGTAATTTTTTTTGTTTTTAAGATTTTATTTATTTATTCATGAGAGACAGAGAGACCGAAGCAGAGACATAGACAGAGGGAGAAGTAGGCTCCTGCAGGGAGCCAATGTAGGACTCAATACCAGGACCCCGGGATCATGACCTGAGACGCTCAGCCACTGAGCCACCCAGGTGCCCCCAACAGTAATTTCTTAAGTAATGATAACTGTACCATGGGCTGTATGAGATGTTAACATGCAAGGAAGCTGGGGCAGGGGTATATAGATACTCTCTGTCCTGTCTTTGTAAGTATTCTGTAAGTCTAATATGATTTCAAAATAAGAACATAAAAAGAAACAAAACAGGACAACGTCTATCAACCGGAATATATAAACAATAGAGCACTACTCAGCATTAAAGTAGAATAACTACTGATCCAGGTACTAATATGGCTGAAACTCCAAAGGATCATACAACATGAAAGAAGTCATATACATACATACAAAAAACTATACGTGAAATTCTAGGAAAGAGAAGTATAAACAGAGAGAACAGACAGATGGCTTACCAGGGACCAAAGGGGTGGGAGACAAGATTGGCTGCAAAAAGGTGGAACGAAATTTTTGAGAGTGATGTTAAGAGTCTATACCTTCACTATACTGGTGGCTGTGCAACCGCATGTATTTATCAAAATTCAAATTGCACACATAAAATTGGTGTATTTTATCGAATTTAAAGTATCCCTTAATGGAGCAAACTTTTAAAAATAATCTCAAAGGCTATAGAATAACATGCAACCTTTTGTGTAGAGAAAGTGGACGAGGGGAGATATGAACATATATACATATGTGTATATATACATATATATGCTTATCTTCACAAAGAAACACTACATGAATAAATCAAAAAGCTAATAAAAATGATTACCCATAAAGGACTAGGAAAGCAGGAGAGAAGGAATATTGATAGAAGTGAAACATCTTTAAATATAATTTGTCACACAGTCGATTTTGAACTCCTGTAAATGTTTTTACATACTGAAAATTAAACCAAAAAGAAAAAAAAACTAGTGATCCCCACAAGTTTTAATGCTTGGTGGTAATGGAGCAATATTATGTTGCCTATATCCCATTTCATGAAAGTGAACCCAGACTATAAACTTGACCTAGCCAAATCATTTTTCTTCAATAATGAAGTTTCCCTGCTATATTTATTTATGTTTTGCTCCAACATATCTGAAAGCTACCATCTGTGGCTAATAAGAACAAAACACTATCACAGATTGTTTTAATTTCCTGCCTGTTATCAGCAGCAAGAAGGTAACCCTGGAAACAAGGATTTATGGCATTCTATTTCCTACTGGTGGTCATAACCAACAAAGGAAACCAAAGGGGCCTCCAAAAGTTAAAGGTTTGTCTATTACAATTCCACCCAAAGAGAAATGTAAAAGTATACCTTTCTTGTGTCATTAATGATTAAACAATGACAACAAATAACTCTGCTGGACAGCCATCTCTTAAGTGTTCAGTCCCTTCCTCAAAATACAGTATGTCAGGTCCATAACAGGAACCCAAGTTCCTATTTAAGCTCCCTCTGAAGCAGGGTGCTTCTTAGACTCCCCCAGTGGGGGCTTATTAAAATACCAATCACTGGACCCCAGTCCCAGAGTTTCTGATTCAGTAAGTCTGGGTGGGACTGAGAATTGGCATTTCTAACAGGTTCCTGGAAGATGCTAATGCCCCTGGTCTGGGAACCATACTTTGAGAACCCCTGTATTAAAGTTGTAGTCCATGTTCTATGCTGCTACACAGAATCTTCACACCTTCAAAATGCTCCTACTCGAACACAGCAATATAAGAAATATGAGCTTGCTTCTGCAAGAGTAAAAGGGGGCAAGAATAAAAATCTCTCTCCTGGGAGACAAAAGAAAAATTCCATATAAATAAATTTGCTTTTGAATGAATAGTAATATAATCAGCATCATCTAGGATGTTTGGTGATCAGCACTAAAAATGAGATCTCTGAGGAAGCCAGAATTTCACACCCCATGCACCTTCCTGGAGAACAGCATTAATAGACAATGGAAAAAGACTGGGAACATTGAAGGTGCTTCCATCCTAAGGGATAGGAAAGAGAATGAGGCCTGCCTCCTGATTTTAGAACTAAGAGAACAAAACACAGTCAGTGAGAGCTAAAAAGGTGTGAAAAGTCTCTTTGCTCTTGGCTGGAGTTAAATCAACCCAAAGGACTAACAAAGTCAAGCTTACTCTGACTTAGTGGAGAAAGGTCTGGGTCATTAACCCAAACCCTCCAACATCAGAGCTGCCTCTACCAGCATACAGCACTTATTTCATCACACCTCCCGGTACCACTGTTATGTATCTAATTTCTCCCAACCTTGGAGGCAGGCATTGTAGCTTAAGGCTTTAAGTTTCCACACAGTGCCCTATATGCCATGCACAGACACAGAATTAAACCTACAGCTTCCATTTTATCTAATTAATACATTTTAATTTATTTACCCCTGTGATTTTATTTCCTTAAGATAGATTTCAGGGCAGCCTGGGTGGCTCAGTGGTTTAGTGCTGCCTTCAGTCCAGGGCCTGATCCTGGAGACCTGGGATCGAGTCCCATGTCAGGCTCCCTGCATGAAGCCTGCTTGTCCCTCTGCCTCTCTCTCTCTCTCTCTCTCTCTCTCTCTCTCTCTCTCTCTCATGAATAAATAAATAAATAAAATCTTAAAAAAAAAAAAAGATAGATTTCAAAGAAAGGACCCCAAAGAAACTCACATGGCCAAAGGAACAGAAGAATTGTTATTGCAGCATCACTGATAATAGCAACATTAGGAAATTTAAAAGTGCATCAGAAAAGCAATTACACAATTTGGGTAGAGTCATACAATA